CATCTCAGTAACCACTCCATCGATTTTATGGGTGCAACCGTTACCAGAGGCTAAATTATCATGAAAATAATGTACTGTACGAAAATTGGCCGGAAGCGTGTAAACCAATTAGGCCAACATTTTTACAAACACAAAAGTGCACAATTTCTAATATAAACGATTTATTCGTTTCGTATATTTTTGAGACCCGTATTATACTATAGTGTTAAATATTATCTGCATACATAGATTTATGTTTTTCTTAATTTCAGATAAATATATTTAGTCAAATGAATGTTATATAGCCGTTATTAAACAATAATTATACAGCTTGGACACGGATACGTCTGTCTATTTGACTTACTTAAGTGTGATACCACAAGTTTACGAACTCCAATGTCGACGCAATCTCGCCATAACATCTTATGGGCGGCCATTAGGGCCAAGATAGACACATTGGCGTACGAACAACCCCACTCTCACGCAGTAAGGACAATAAAAATTGCCGTAAGGACAATACAAATTGCCGTAAAGACAATACAAATTCTCGTAAGGACAAGACAATCACTCGCCGTACAGACAAGACAATTCGCCTTAAGGACAAGACAATTTATAACGTTGAGGGCAGCATATTAAGGCGACAAGGTTATTTTTAGCACAGAAACATAAAACTTTTCTGACGGCGGCGCGAAACTTTTGATTTATTCAACATGTACAGTCGACAACTCCGACCGAGCATCTCTTTCGCAACTAGACAAGTGGTGGCGCCAATGGGGCTGGGGGCCTTTAGCCACCCTGACGGGGGAGGGGGCTATGCTTCCCCGACGGGTAGAAGGCGAGTACATTTTGTCGGGGAATAAGCAAATTAAAAAAAAAATATTTACATGTAATGTTCGTTTAGCCACCACATTGTTTTCATTAAACTATTTGTGTTATTATAGCCATAATATCGGCGCTGGTTCGAACGGCACGCTCGCCTATGGTTCTGGTGGTAGAACAAGTCTTCTTGGATAAGGACTATAAACCGTAGGCCCAGTGTATACAATGGCTCGTATGCACTATAAAGAACTCAGTACATCCTTCGAGACGAGTAGGAGGATACCCCGATGTACTGGACAGACAGCCCCTGTGGTGGACGACGAGAGTTGCCGGGTACCGGGTTACCGGGTAGCACAGACACCAAGGGACCCTGGGGGTGGGGGGCGAAGAAAATCATTGATCGAATTCCTAGTCCACATATCAAGCGCCTTGAGCATCTTACATTAGATGGATATGTGCGCTATATAAACTACATTATTATTATTATTATTATTATTATTATTATTATTATTATTATTATTATTATTATTATTATTATTATTAATATTATTATTGATAAAATATTAATAATATGCCTAATAATAATAATAATAATAATAATAGTTCAATGAGACTAATTAAAAATAATTTGCGTTCTGTTATGACAAATGCTCGTTGGGATAGCCTCATGATGCTTGAGATACATCGTATTGGTGAAGCAACCTCGAAAATGACAGCGTGGATGACAGATTTTATGCAAAATTTCACTTTCAAGAATGAGGATTTAAAAATAAATTAGATGGTTACATTGCATACGCTTTGTTTTTTGTTTTATTCAAAATGTTTTGGTTTTGGAAGCTGATTTCGACATTAGCCTACATAAAGTCATATTATAGTAACTCGATGCCTATCAAAATAAGTAATTAAAATTGGCCATAATTCGTCAAATATCCGTGGCTTACCTAGACCCCCGCCGGGGGCTCTAGGCGCCCCCTGGCCCCCAGCCAAGTGAGACTCGATTCGCTCGACTAGCGAACGAACAAAAAAAAAGAAAGAAACAAAGAAACAAAACCCAGTCAGCAGCAATAATAACAATAACGTACAATCCTCAAAACAAGTCTTAAAAGTATTAAATTGACTTATATAAAGACATAATTAAAAATAGAAGTTTAATTTATAATATTTATAATAATAATAATACGGTAATAGCAATGATACCGTAACAATAATATTCAAATATTACAATAATAATACTGATTATAATTATTATTATTAGTAATATTATTATTAATAATTATAATTATTATTATTAGTAATAGTGATAATAAAAAGAGTGGTAATAGATGTAATTTTAGTATGCAAAAAAGGTATCTGTGCTTAACAAATATTCGGCCTATATAATAACAATAATATAATACAATCATAGTTACCAACCGTCTCGCATCGTGCGGGACGGTCCTGCATTTCAAAGTGATGTTGGATGTAACACGCATTTTGCAGAAACACAAGTTTGCGTGATAACGAATTATCACAAATTCAGGGGAAAATGAATTTAAAATTTGAAGAAATTGGTTGTATTAAAACTATAAAAAGTGATGCAGTAACTTGAGTCATTAGAGGGTACAGTATTTCCTTGAAGGCCCTACTTATTTCACTAACGAGTTACTAAAAATTGATCAGTAATGAAATGTGGTGGTTCCCCTGCCGCTTGATTAAATAACTTCTAATGACGAACTATTGTCTTCAGTTGTCTTTGTTGGTCATCCAACTGTCATTTTATCTATTTTTTCGGTGATATTACCATTCTCAATAATCTATAAAACACCCACATAACAACGTCGCGTTAAATCGAACGGTGGGGACGCCGTGGTGACGCCGGTAGGGTCAATTTTCGTCGGAAATTATCAAGATTATAAACAGTTTCTTTGGACTAAATTATTGCTTATGTTAACCATGCTTTCCTAAGATTATGCTGACACTGGTTTCAAATGAAATAACTGACAACTTTTGTTTGTATCAATGTTTTATTTAAGTACATAAAACTATGTCACAAATACGTATGCAAAAATGCACATGGACACCACGCTGTTTTTATATTTTTCTTGAAATCTGTATGCCTGATCATGATCATCATACACATTGTAATAAATTCAAGTAAGATGTTTCAAATGATATAAAAATGGATGCAAACATGCCTTTGGAACAGTTTTTTCCCCGAGTTTTATTTAACTTGACGTCGACTCCGTCTTAGAAAGCACCAGGATTAATCACACCAGGATTAATCACCACGCTGTTTTTGTGTTTTTTTTTTAAATCTGTATGCCTGATTACCATTATCATACACAGTATGATGATATGATTTAAGTATGATTCAAGTAAGATGTTTAAAATGAAAATTCATCGTAGCCATTAATAATTATTATCAATACGGTCCCGGCGTCATTCCTTGAATAGGGACGGTACGTACTACTTAACGCTTGACTTCACGATGTACACATGCCATAGGTCATATCATAAGATAATTATTTGTCCCGAATTGTAATTTGTATTTTTAATGTATTACTAGAGATAGGTCCCTGCATTCAGCAATTATGTGGATATTCATTCTATTGTTATTTGCTATCAACTATTGCCCAGGCGTCACTAATTTTTTTATTGATTTAATATACTGAATCATTATTAATGGTATATACCTATTATATATTTCTATAAATTAATCAACAAATGTCTCATTACCGTAAATAGGCCTAGTGAAGTATGAAGTATTATTAATTCTTTATAAAAGCATTATTCGAGCACCTTTATTATTATTATTATTATTAATATTAATATTAATATTATTATTATTATTATTATTATTATTATTATTATTATTATTATTATTATATATATATTATTTATCAACCATATTAACATTAAAAACATGAATTAGATTATTATTATTATTATTATTATTATATTATTGTTATTATTATTGTTTTTATTATTATAATTATTATTATTATTGTTTTATGTATGCATGAATATATGCCTAGGCCTAATATATAATGTATATACTTAATAATTTAATTAGAAATAAACGTAATTTGATTTAATATGCTGATTATTATTATCTCATTAATCAAACTATCGTAAAATTATTATTATTATTATTATTATTATTATTATATTAATATTATTATTATTATTATTATTATTATTATTATTGTTTTATGTATACATGAATATATGCCTATGCCTAATATATAATGTATATATTTAATAATTTAATTAGAAATAATTATAATTATTAATTGTAAAACTTTTTTTTTCTCTTTCGTGGCATGACCACCACTTTTATTCAAAAATAATCTGAATTAAACAAACATCAGTACAATATTTCTGCTTCAAATCGTTTTTTCCAAGTTAACCTTGTGTTCTCTTTATACCAGCATTTAATATATTTTTGCTTTTTTTTATATATTTATATAATTTTCATAAGAATACAATCATTTGTATGAGTTGAGAAATAATACAAAAGAAAAAAAAAATGCAAAACAAGTATTCAACTAATGGAGAAAATGTTTAAGACAAGTATTTGATTTTTTTTCCTTTTACACGTCATCACTACCAATAAAGCATTTATGAATATTAATTTATAAATTTATAAATGTATACATATATATATATATATATATATATTATAAGAGACAGTATATACATATTACGGTATACATATATATATATAATATATATATATATATACATTTATATATATACACATGTCATACACACACATATATTATACATATTATATACACATACACACATACATATAAAGGTAAATAATTTTTACTATACAAAATATTTTAAGGCAGTTCATCAATGATAGGATCGGTACTCTTATTACTTCATGGCCTATATTGCATGTATATTGTAAAACATTTCATTTCATTTATTTATTCGACCAATACACATTTACAAAAGGTACAGTACAACAAAAATCATGGTCAGGGGCAGCTTAAGCAAAATTTTGAGAGTCAGCTGCCCCATATATAATATAATGTTAACATATAGACTAGGCTAGACCTAATCAATTTTTGATACCATAATGTCATCTATCGATAAAAACATCGATTCGATTAATTAAAAGCAGCTTTTCGCACTTTGGCAGTGCCGATAGAAAACAGCAACTTTTTCGAACTGCGGCAGTGCCGATAGAAAACAGCAGCTTTTTTTTCGCACTGCGGCAGTGTCGATAGCCACTACCGTGGTCGGCTAGCCAGACACAAACGACATTGCCTGCAGCCAGGCCCAGATCAGGTACGTTTAATCCATGGTTTAATACTACTATTTTTAAAAATTCTACCTATCATATGTGTTCTTCTGTGTGTGTTTGTAGGCCTGCATTAATGATGAACGCCTATATTGAGCCTACTGTTTCTGTGTAGCCTAGGCTTAGGCTTGCAGGCCGGACAGGCTAGCTAGGCATAGCCTAGGCTAGGGCCTAATAAATCAGTAGGGAGCTTTCGATTTATGCAACGACGCGACGCTAGTGAACCAGGGAATCTCCCTGCTAGAACGGAATAGTCGTATTCGACTGGTCTGTTTTGAGCAGCTTTTTGTACTCAAACTGCACATGTCGTATTCGACTGGTCGCACGAGCAGCACGAGCTCCACACAAAAAAAAAAATGGCTCAAACTCCTCGCTGTTTTGTAACGAGCACACTCCGAGTAGCAATTTCTCCTCGGAAAAGGACCAGTCGAATATGCCTATTCACTCTTGCGTGACCGTCCTACCTGGCGTCCTACGTTCTCTGCATAATTATGTAGGTTTGACCAAATTGCGTTCCAGAATCTACTTGAGGAGGTTACCTTAACGTTCTCGCATGGCAGATGAGTTACTGATGTCATTACGTTCTACGTCCTCCCACCGTTATGCAATCGAAAGTTAATCCTAGGCTAGGCCGTTGGCCTACCCCAGGCTAGGCCTAACTATATACCTACTATCTAGGGCCTACTACTAGACCTAGGCCTATGGAATACAGATCATTTCGGTCGCGCTTCGTTTCGGTCGCGCTTCATTATGGTCGCGCTTCATTTCGGTCGCGGTTTATTTTCAACAAATATACGGAGCGCCAATGGAGTTTCGAAACGCTAAATGTAATATAACTAGGCCTAATTATCATACTTTTTTTATTTATGTTTTGTTGTATTTCTAATAAGTAACAACAGGCTACTTAAAAGCAAATAAAATTAATACTATTATTACTAAACTATCAATTAATATTATCGGACGGTTTTTATTT